GAGATCACCACCCCCAAAAAAATGCAGGCTACAAAACAGAGACGTACAGGGTGTAGTGAGAGTCTAGTCAGGAAGACCCAACCAAATGAGAAGTGGCGAGACGTGGAAAGACAGGCTCACATCTCATCCTTCAAGGCTCAACACACACGTCCAGGGAGGAATCCCCAATCTCCCTGACTGAGCCAAACTCCCATATGATCTCTTTCCTTTGAGGCACATATCTAAGTTGTAATATTGCACTTATTGCCCGGTCATTTGATGCATGCCTGCGCCTTCCACTGATCCGAAAGTTCCCACAAGCGGAGAGTACGCCATGGTACCCCAGCACCAAGGCAGTGGACCCAGGAGAGGAGCCACAGGACGGGCCACATACAGGGTCCCGGATTCAAAAGTCATCAAGGATTTCCAGATGGTGTAAGCAGACCGTGAAACCCAGCCGGGGACCTCCTAAGCCCAGGACCCCATGCAGCTACACAGTTGACGGGTGAATGAATGAAGTTGAGATCTGAGGAATTAGCCCAAATAGAAGAAGAAACAGTCAAGGCAGATGTATGCAAAAGCCGCACAGAAAAAAGTCAAGAGAGAGTAACAACTTTGAAGAGTTGAACGACAGTCTCTAGTCAGAGTGAGGGTGTCTGTCGAAGTGGATGAGAGTGGAGTGAGGGATCCAGGCCTCAGTGCTCCTGCAGGCGCTCTGCAAAGATGTGAGGAGACAGCATGCCGAGCAGCCCTCGCCTCGGGAACCGCAGGTGGGAACACTGATTTTTTTTCCTTCTTTCCACTTTTCTGTTTTTCTGATTGCCCTTCCAGTCTCATTCGGAGTTAGAGCTAAACCTTCTGATAGCATTGGGACATTTGTTCCCCACACCTCATGTTGAATGTGGTCCCAGCGTTGGAGGTGGGGCCTGGGGCGATCCCTCGTGAATGGCTTGGAGCTGTCCTCCTGGTCATGAGTGAGTGCTCTCTTCTGCTTCCACTCTGGCCCTTTGCCTTCTGCCACAACTGGAAGCGTCCAGAGGCCTCACCAGAAGCCGATGCCGGCGCCAGGCAGAACTGTGAGCCAAATAAACTCTTTTCTTTTATTTTCCTTTTATTTTTTTCTTTTTTGAGTTGGAGTCTCACTCTCTCACTCTGTCGCCCAGACTGGAGTGCAGTGGCACACTCCCAGCCACAGCAGCCTCGACCTGCTGGGCTCCGGCAATCCTTCAGCCTGAGCCTTCCAAGTAGCCGGAACTACAGACACTATCTTTTATTTTATTGTAGAGATGAGGTCTCGCCAAGTTGCCCAGGCTGTTCTCAAACCCCTGGGCTCATGCAGTCCACTCGCCTCGGCCTCCCAAAGGGCTGGGATGACAGGCCGAGCCTTGGGCTTTTCTTTACAGCAGCACAAAACGAACGATGTGCCCCTGCAGTGGCGCCTGTGATGCTCCCTGGAACTGGCCCACGAGGAACTCCTGCTTCTGTCTTCTTCCATCTTCTTTTTTTTTTCTCTGAGTCGGAGTCTCACTCTGTCACCAAGGCTGGAGTGCAGTGCTACGTTCACGATCACCGCAGCCTTGACCTGCTAGCCTCAGGCAATCCTTCCACTTCAGCCTTCCAAGTAGCTGGGACTACAGGCATGCGCCACCACGCCCAGCTAATTTTTTTATTTTTTGTAGAGATGAGATCTCACCGAGTTGGTCTTGAATCCATGGGCTCAGACAACCCTCTCATCTCGGCCTCCCTAAGTGCTGGGATTATAGGCATGAGACAACGCGCCCGACCCTTCCCTCTTCTTACTCCATCCACCACGGTTCCTCCAGGGTGCTCCCCACTCAGGTGCCCGGGTCACCTGGCACACTCCCCAGCATCCACCTGCCTCCTCTTCCTGTCCTTACTCAGATGGTACCTGTGTGGTGAAGCCTTCCTCAGCATGACTACCAGTATCTCCCCACAAACCCTTCCCTGACCCTCCTCCACCGCCAGCTTAGATGCTATGGTATATCTTTCCTGTTCCCCGCCCCCAAGGTAAGCTTTCTGAGGACAAGAGTTTTGTCTGTTGATCCCCAGAGCCTAGCTGTATCCAAGGAACTCGATAAGTATCTGTAAGGTAAAGTAATGAATTCCCTACACGAGCAGTGAGAAGCCCTGCATAAGCACAATAGCTGGAGAGCACCCAGACATGGAACCCAAATCCCCTCTCTCTCTCTCTCTCTCTCTCTCTCTCTCTCTCTCTCTCTCTCTCTCTCTCTTTCTCTCTGTCTCTCCCCCTCTCTCTCCTCCCCCACCTCCAAAAATTACTCTGTCCAGAGGGGGCCGGTCCCCCTTGCACTCACCCTGTGCACTTAGCTGCCATGGCTCCTCTCTGAATCACATGCAGGTGACCATCTAGAGAAATAGCTCTCCGCAACCTTAACCGATGAGGCCAATGTCTCTGTCCAAAGCAGTGCGGTTTCAAGAAGAGCCTCGGGGCCTTGTCAGAGCCTGAGTCACTCTCTTTCCTCCAGGAAGCTGATGGCTTGGTTTTCGTTTTCCCTCCAGACCCTAAGTATCCTTTCTCACCAATAATCTTTGGGGTAATAGGAGATACCTTGTCACCAAAAGAGCTCCCTAGTTACAAATCTCAGGAAGGAGAGGCTTGTGGAGGCTCTGTCCCTTCCTCCTGGGAGGTCCTGCCTCCCTTATGGAAATCATCTGCCTTCTTCCTGGAGATCAGTTCTGAGGACCTGGGCCTCCTGGAGGGCAATGGATGGGAAAACACCGCCTGCCTCTTGCACATATTTGCATAAGCAAAAGCCCACCTAGATAACTCTTTGCAGCCCAGAGGTCTGTTTCACGTCCCTAAAAAAAAGTTCCCGCCAAATTATACGGATAATAATCTCATGTTTGGGGGAGTTCACAATCGCATCTTAATCTGGGAGTTAGGCATCACCGTCAGCACAAGGCAAAATCTCACATAGCAAACTTACCCTTGAAACTCATAAAGCATCGAATACATTGCTTTATATACACAGCCATGGACATATGTGTGTGTGTACACACACACACACACACACCCACACACATATAATAAGTATATATTCAAGAAATGCTACTTGTAGGTAGCCATATGTGTTTCACATTTCATCTCTTGGAGCACCTCAGAAATTGTGGAAGGGTTATGACTGGCTGACTTTTCGGTTTCATCGTCTTCTTAAGATGAAACTCTTTATCAAAACTTTTGTCGAAACTTTTCCTAAGCCCTCAGCTAGTTCTTCAAATTTTTCCTCCGGGAGAGTGAAGATACTTGGTTAGGGAATCCTTAAAGTCCCTGACAGGCTGGGCTCAGTAGCTCAGTCTATAATCCTAGTACTTTGGGAGGCCAAGGCAAGAGGATTACCTGAGCCAGCGGGTTCGAGACCAGCATGGGCAACTTGGCGAGACCTCATCTCTACAATAAATTAAAAAAAAAAAAATTAGCCGGGCATGGTAGCACATGCCTGTGGTTCCAGCTACTTGGAGGGTAAGGTGGAAGGATCGCCGGAGCCCAGTAGGTCGATGCTGGGGTGACTGTGAGTGTGCTACTGCACTCCAGCCTGGACCACGAAGTGAGACTCTGACTCAAAAAAAAAAAAGTCCCTGACACATTGTTTCCATCGGTTTAGCCAAAATGCCCCTTTCAGGTTGGATAGACTCCATGGCGCAGGGTATTCATTCATTGAGGAGGAGGCCGCCAGTGCCCACCCAGGCCCACTGTTCTTTCTCAGAAGGCAATACATGGGGTGCGTGAGCTAGTCTGGTTCTTATATTAGAAAAATGTTTAAACCTGGGCAGTGCAAACAGGCAAATAAAATTAATCACCAGTCTTGTTTTTTTTTTCAATTTATGTGCTTAATCTAATTTATTTATTTCTTAAAATAGAGACAAGGTCTCGCTGTGTTGTCCAGGCAGGTGTCAAATTCCTGGAGATCCTCCTGCCTCAGCCTCCCAAAGTGCCAGGATTACAGGCATGAACACCTGGTCCCCAAACAAATATTTTTTTTTAAGTTCCTACTATACGCAGGCACCGTTCTGAATGCTTTTCTGAAATAACTTGAGGATAGTTGTTATTATCCCCATTTTAAAGATGAGGGCACTGAGGCACAGAGAGACTGAGGACCTTGTCCAAGGTCACACGGTAAACAATGGGGCTGGATTTGGGGCCAGGCTGTCTGGCCTTAAGCATCTATTCCAAATTACAGATCGCCACTAAGTGAGCTCCTTAAAATGCTTGTATAAAACATGTCATCTGAAGGGAGATTACAGCTTCTCTTGAGAAGAGTTAAAATTGAGACTTGTGTACCTGACAGGTCTCTACATCAACTAGCAGACCTGACAGCCTTCACCTGGAAAAGGAAAGAAGGATTTTGTAATCCTCTAACACAGAACGTGGAGAGGAGTCATGCAGGCTTACCCAGTTCCACCTCCCGTTTTTACATAGGAGCGAACAGACTCTGCTGAGTGAGAACAGGAGCTCAGACAGATTCCGTCACTTACCCAAGACCATACAGGCCTCAGTCACCCCAGTGATAAACCAAAATGACTGTCTGTGTTCCCCAAATAGAAGTGGCCTGATTTCCTCCTGAATTCCATCTTTCTTTCTGCTTCTAGGGAAGCAGCCTCAATCCTGCCATCATAATAATTATACGTATGGGCGTGTGTATGTATATATTTGAGTCGGGGTATCGTTCTGTCCTCCAGGCTGAAGTGCAGTGCACAGTCATGACTCACTGCAGCCTCGACCTCCTGGGCTCAGGCGATCCTCCTGCTTTAGCACCCCCCACCTCCAGCAGCTGGGACTACAGGCATGCACCACCACACCTAGCTGAATTTTTTTTTTTTTTTGTCAAGACGTGTTCTCACTATGTTGCCCAGACTGGTCTCCAACTCCTACACTAAAGCGATCCTCGCCCCTCAGCCTCCCAAAGTGCTGGGATTATAGGCATGAGCCATCGTGCCCGGCTCATCATAATATCGACTGCCTGTGTCCGGGTAATAAACCACCCATTCCTTCTTTCTGAGCCTGTGTGCCATGGTGAAACTTGTGAGGAACCGTCTGGGAGAGACTGTGCTCATCTCCCAAGGGCAAGGTGTTCAGGCGTGTGCATCAACCACAGCCGATGGCAGCCACAACAAAACCCGGGCTGCTAGCGTGGACGCCCCCGGGAGAGTGAATGTCAGGCGCCAAGGGAGAATTTCTTTGGGGGACAACGTACTCACCCGGCATCGTATCCTACCCTGCGTCTGTGCCAGGCCAGCTCATCCAGGAGACAGGAAACAGAGAACTGATCCCAGGGCACTAGTGTGAATGAAGCTAGTGAGGATGAACTCTGAGGACAGCTGCACCTTGAAGACTTTCAGAACAGACAGCAGAGGTGGGTGCAGTCAGACACGTGGGGTTGGGATGGTGCGCGTCTTGCTTCCGTGCTTTTTTTTGTGGCACCCTTGCATGGCCTTTCCCTTGTGCACCTGGTTTCCTTCCTTCTTCGTTCAAAGACTCCCCCTCCAAGCACTCGAGGTCATGCTCTTACTACTACACGTGCCCCCAGAACACGTCTCCTCGCACCTGGCATGCAGACATCCTTAACACTGAAATTGCTTCTTTTCTTTACTTTTTAAATTTTTTTGTTATGGAGACAAGGTCTTACTATGTTGCCCAGGCTGGTCTCAAACTCCTGGGCTCAAGCAATCCTCCTACCTCAGCCTCCCAAAGTGCTGGGATGGCAGACGTGAACCACTGCAACCTGCCAAAATTGCTTCTTTTTTTTGATCAAAATATCTACTCCTCAATTAAATTCAAGCTTAGTCTTAGGAAAGGTATGCTATTTAAAACATACTTTTAGTCTATGTTTTAAAATAGCCAAAGTATCAGGCAGGGTGACTCACACATGTCATCCCAGCATTTTGGGAGGCCGAGGCGGGAGGATTGCTTGAGCCCAGGAGTTCAAGACCAGCCTGGGCAACATAGCAAGACCTCACCTCTACCAAAAAAAAAAAAATCAAAAAATTAGCAGGCATGGTGGCATGCGCCTGTAGTCCCAGCTACTCAGGAGGCTGAGGCAAGGAGAATCACTTGAGCCCAGGAGGTCAAGGCTGTGGTGAGCTGTGATCGTGCCACTGCACTCCAGCCTCAGTGGGAGAGTGAGAGCCTGTCTCAAAAATAAAATAAAATAGCCAAAGTAACCAATCACCCAAACAGAGCCTTTGTTGGAATAAGAAAAAGACACTTCTCGTGACTATTTGCTTCTGTCTTTCAGAAAAATGTGTCAATACACCAATTGTGGTGAGGAGCACACTTCTGTGCCAACCTTTAGAAGAACACAATAAACACACAAGTCTGCAGGGTCTGCAGTGTGACCTCGCCAGTCCCCACACAGCAGCCTCACTGGGACGCCTTCCTTTCTTGTTCTCTGACCCTCCCCCCACACCAGGCGTGGTGCGAGGAGGCTGGACCAGGAGTCAGGAGACTTGGGACTGACTCATTTCACAACTTTCGGAGACTTTTCCTTTTTCTTCACCTTTGACCTTAGCAGAATAACGTCGACCTTGCACGAAGCCAAAGATTAAATGAGATAGCTTGTACAAATGTGTGTCTTCCTCTCAGTTCATCAACTATCAACGGAAGTTTCTGCTCGGACCAACTTCATGTGGTCCTCATTCCCCAACTGACCCCCAAGATGCCTGATTTGCCTTCAGTAAATGTAAATATAGTCATTTATGCCAACTGCTTCCTGCCTGTATCTCTAAGTTACTGCAGAACACAGTAATTGCACATATTATCAAACATGCATGGGATTAATACCGGAGTATATCATGTTTGTTTCTTTTCTTTTTTTTTTTTTATTTTCTTTTAGAGAGGGTCTCACTCTATTGCCCAGGCTGGAGGGCGGTGGTACCATCACGGCTTACCACAGCCTTGATCTCCTGAGCTCAGGCGATCATCCTGCCTTAGCCTCCTGAGTAGCTGGGACATACCACCACACCTGGCTAATTTGTTGATTTTTTTTTTTTTTTTTTTTTTGTAGAGATGAGGTCTCGCTATGTTGCCCAGGCTGGTCTCAAATTCCTGGGCGCAAGTGATCCTCCCGCCTTGGCCTCCCAACATGCTGGGACTACAGGCATGAGCCACTGTGCCCAGCCCATGTTTCTTTCTTAAAACACTACACACTGTTCAAGTCTTTTCAGTCTTCATAGTTTGCTTTTTATATGGCCAGATATGCGCTCACATCTTTGAAATAACAGAGAAAACATTTATTCCCTAGATTGCTGGTGGGATTTATGCAGCGATACATTTTATTTTCTAGTAGGAAAACAGCCCATTTGCATAAATAAAAAATGCAAAAAAGATAAGGAGGGGAAATCATCAAAGGGCCTGTGAGACTGTGAAGGGGCAACCAAATGCAAAAGCAAATAATAAAAGTGGCATTTCCCATGTGGAGTACAATTAGCACATGTTGCAGCAAAAGTCAACGAAATGGGGCACAAAACCTCCACAGCCGCTGCCTTTAATCGGCGCACTGAGAGTTACAGGGTCAAGGTCATTTGGGGCCTGCAATTGACCACAGAGTTTCATTCAAAATGAGGACAGTTCATTCTTTTCATAGAACAAGCAGTAGAATATTTCAGAACCGTGTAAAGGAAAATTTAATTGGCTTATGAATAGTTGATTTTATTTAAAATAGAAATTGCATAGTGAAGAGAAATAATGATCTATACATGTAGTTCTTATATAAGCGATATAAGAAAATAATATTGTCCCCATAAACCAACTAGATTTAAAAACAATTCAGTTGCTTGGCAGTTACATGCTAAATTCAGAGACTGATCTTATACTTACTCAAATACTTGAAGAACCAAAATAAGTTTGCTGCTAAAGGATAAACACTCTCACAAATGTCCTTGTGTTTGTATATTTGTTGTTTCTAGCCCCAGAGACATTTAAAATAAAATTTAATGATTTTATCTTCACCGTAACAATATATTCCTTTTACTGAAAAAAAACCAGGCAGACCATGGTACACTCTGGCATCATGGGAAAAGCTCCAACTGCAGAGTAAGTATTACTGGGATGTCGTCTTGTACGCCATGGTATTATCCGCAACTGATGTAGAGATCTCTGTAACACCTTGTGCTGAAGAGTTTTATGAGTTGGGAGCACAAATTAGAAAAGCACAGAGGCGTTTGCCACCTCACCAGAGCTGGGACCATTACAGCATCACATCTGCTCTCAAACGCATGACGTCTCCCTGATGCCTCTGGGCCTCAGCTTCCTCATCTAGAATGTGGACAACAGAGTGATCCTCACCTCAACAGGTTGTTCTAGGGATTAGATGAGTCCATGGATGTAAAGGGCCTGGGACGGCTCCTGGCACAGAGACAGTGAACGCTGTGCCATCGGCATCCGGTCTTGTTGAGGCTGTCTGTGTCCCCCTGGTCCATTCTCCACCTGGAAGCCAGAGTGATTATTTGCTGAAATAACCCAATTCTACGTCCCTCTGTTCCACACATGTTAATGGATCTATGCATTCGTTTTAAGATATGGCCACAAATTTTTAAGACTCCTCCCTTCAAAACTGGACCCTGATTTTCCTCCCTTTGAATGCAGGCTAGACTTAGTGACTTGGTTGTGTGTGTGTGTGTGTGCGTGCGTGCGTGCGTGCGTGTGTGTGTGTGTGTGTGTGTGTGTTTAACTCAGGGTCTGGCTCTGACACCCAGGCTGGAGTGCAGTGGCACAATCACAGCTCAATGCAGCCTCCAACTCCTGGGCTCAAGCATTCTTCCCTTCTCAGCCTCCTGAGTAGCTGGGACTACAGGCATACACCAACACTCCTGGCAAAAAAATTTTTTTGTAGAGATGAGGAGTTGCTATGTTGTCCAGGCAGGTCTCAGACTCCTGGGCTCAAGGAATCCTTCTGCCTCAGACTCCCAAAGTGCTGGGATTATAGGCGTGAGCCACCACACCCTGCCCAGTGACTTGTTTTTAGCAAATAAAATGAAGAGGAGATGAAGGTGTCCAACTTCAGACACTAAGTCCTAAAAAGATACTGTAGTGTTCATCTTGACCCAGCCCTCCCTCCCCCCCTCCCTCTCTCACATCACTTTTCCAGCTGCTGTGCTGAGAACCCCTGTAAAGAACCTCACCAAGCAAGGAACAGAGGCTTCTGGTCTGCAGCCATATGAAAGAGCTCGGATGCAGATCCCACAGCCTCGGTCAAGCCACAGCTGAATGCAGCCCCTCAAGGACCCCGAGCCACAGCCACCCCACTCGCCCTCCCGAAGTCCAGATCCACAGAAGCAGGGGGACACGAAACGCTTGCTGCTTAAAGCCACGAAGTTTTGGGGGTAACATGTTCCACGGCAATCCATAATCCATAACTGATAAACTCATCTGTCATGTGTCAGACGATGTTCCTCGTACTGGGGACACAGGGACGAACACAGCAGACACAGTCCCTGCCCTCACGTGGCACTTCCGTTCCAGTGGAGTTGGCAGCACCCTCGCTGGCAGAGAAGTAAAGCCAGGCGGCAAGACATGCACCAAGAAACACAAAGCAAGAGAAGTGTAGAGAGGAGCGTGCCCAGGAACCGGAGGAGCAACGTGATGGGAGGGCGAGGCACTTTCAGGAGAATGTACCAGGAGACGGCTTTAGGTGAGACCTGATTTTTAGAGGAAAGATCCATGAGACAGCTCTAGGGAAGACCTGACTAATGTGAGGGAGGGACAGTATCAGTGTGGGGGAAATCGTTTTGGTTTTTGTTCTTGTTGCTTTTTCAGGCCGATGAGTTTAGAAACGTAAAGACCCAATGGTAGAAAAAAGCTTGACATATTCCAGGGACAGCTGGAAGGCCACTGTGCCAAGGAAGGGGGAACCAGAGAGAACCTGGCAAGGGCAGGCCTGCAAATGGCCGGAGAGACCAAAACGCCCCCCTCCCAAGTCTGCCCAAGCCAGCCACTGCAACGAGAGTGACACCCATGCTCCTTCCTGAGTCACACAGCCTGGCTCACTGAGCCTTCCCTCCTGCGCTGTGTGTGAAGGCCTACCAGGTGCCTGCTGTCCATTGCAGTTACCTGGTTCAGTTCATCTTGGACATCGTGAGCAGCAAAGGCCATCATTATTCCCGGCCTGTAAGGCACTAACTGCTGCCGATTAAACCTAGACAAAACGCCTTACCACTGGCCCTGTGAGCTGTGTAGCTCGGCTGTGCCAGCTTCCCACTGCTCGGAAGCAACTTCCTCACTTAGGACTGTCCCACTGTCATCTATCTCGTCAAGAGTTTGGTCACTCCTTTGCAAAAATAAATTATGAAATCAGTTTTTCCCTGAGGACAAGCATTCACTTTACTAAATATCAAACAGATGCCCCTCTGTTCCATGTATGTTCCTTTTCTCAAACATAACACATTTTGGTTTCATTAAGAAATCCTAGTCTACTCTTTATCCAAACGAGTTAAACAGCAATTCAACGTGACAACTGGGGTAATACCAGAGCACTCAACTGAGTTAAAGGGACTGCAGTTTGAACCAGGACGATCAAGCTGGCCTGTCCAAGGCAAAGACAGCGGGTTGCCAGTGCTGCCTGCCGGACAGGAGTACGAATGTGTCATGGATTGTCAAATGTAAGCAGCAACCTAATTTCAGAAACATTAAAATGTGGAAAAGAAATGGCATCTTAGGAGGTTTAGGGGTTATGGTACCACCATAAATTGAAGTGTCCTACGGGATTCACAACAATAAGAGAGATTTATTTTTGCTTACATAAAAAAAATCTAAGACATATTGTTTAAGAATGTAAATCATATATTATCTGTTTCTGTAAAATAAACATATTAATGTTTATATACTCTCAAAAATATATATGAGTAAAAATAAACATGTTTTACTCAGATAATCAGTCAAAAAATAAACAATCAGTAAATCTTTAAAGTTAATGATCATCCACTGGTAAAATGTATTCATTAAAAAAACATTTTAGGCCGGGCGTGGTGGCTCAAGTCTGTCATCCCAGCACTTTGGGAGGCCGAGGCAAAAGGATTGCCTGAGCCCAGTGGTTCAAAACCAGCCCAGGCAACTTGGCGAGACCTCATCTCTACAATAAATCAAAAAATTAGCCGGGCGTGGTAGCGTGTGCCTGTAGACCCAGCTACTTGGAAGGCTGAGGCAGAAGGATTGCCAGAGCCCAGCAGGTCGACGCTGGGTGGTCATAAGCATACCAGTGCACTCCAGCCTGGGGGACAGAGTGAGACTCTAACTCAAAAAAAAAAATTTTTTTACTGGGTGTGGTGGCTCTCACCTGCAATCCCAGCACTTTGGGATCACGTGAGTCTACGAGTTCGAAACCAGCCTGGGCGACATAGGGAGACCTCATCTCTACAAAAAAATCAAAAAATTAGCTGAGCGTGGTGGCATGTGCCTATAGTGCTCGCTCTGGAGGCTGAGGCAGGAGGATCGCTGAGAATGCGGTGAGCATGATCCTGCCACTGTACTCCAGCCTAAGCAACGAGGGAGACTCCAACTCCTCCCCCAAAAGAAAATGTCTCTTAAGCAAAAAGAATGGATTGTACTGGGATAGTTCTAGGCTTTTCCTA